TACATTAATTGGGGAAAAAAGCCTAATGATTATTATGAAATACAAATTGAACTGTTTGCTTGAATGCTCCGAAACCCTCCCTTTCGTTTCCCCCCTCCCCGTTTTCTGTACAGTCAGCGTTCACAAATACCTTCTGTTATTAATGGTAGCAGTTGTCAGAAGCTCAAAAGACGCTATACTTAAACTTGTCTCCTCCAGTTCCGAGGAGATGCTTAATAAATGTACCCTTGAAAATAGTTGCTACCTTTGAAAATAATGGCTAGCTTTGAAAATTTCTGCAGTTACTGACAGCCATCTGCTCTCCCCTGGATTAATGGAAATCACTTGTGCGGAATTCAGGAAAATGGATTTTTGTTTTAATTAATCACAGAATCGACTTGAGGGCATGATGGCAATGTTGCCCTCCGCTTTCACCGACTCGTCTGTATCGTCTCTGACTTGTGATTGATTGCCACTGCCTTGATTGACGCCAGATCCAGGTGACACTCCCATCTCTGGGTCAAAAGGTTGGGGTACAAGCCTCGCGCTGACATTTCAGCTCAGTCGAGCCCGACAGTTTGGACTGTGAACTCACAATCCTGTTTGCCTACAAAACATCACAGTCACTACCCTTTCCCATAATAATAATAATCCTTGAATTTGATACAGCGCCTCATCATGTCACTGCGACATCTCAAAGTACTTCACAGAATATACTGTAAAGTGCATTGATTGTATATTTTGTGGGCGAAACGCGGAAGCCAATTGTGCACAGCAGCGTCCCACAAACAGTCATGGATTCAGTGACCACTTTTTTTATTATTGTAATGAGAAGACAGCAGCCTGGGGTTCTGGAAGCATGAGATCAAATAGGCAAAATGGTCTTATTCATCCAAACCTCTCCAGTGATCTATTTGGAATCATAGAAATTTACAGCACAGAAGAAGGCCATTCGGCTTATCATGTCTGTGCTGACTATCTCAAGAGTAATCTTTCAGTCCCATTTACCTGCCCTTCCCTCCACACCTCTGTGGATATCTCCATTGTAGGTATTTGTCTAGTTCCCTTCAAATTGAACCTGTGCCCTCTTGTCCCTATTGTCTTTTTATTTTTGTTGCTGGTAATGGTGATAGGAGCCCAACAGGGCACATTCCTTTAAGTTTTAGCACCATATTATGTCAGAGTTCTTTAGGGTGGTGGTTAGCTCACCTGACAAGTGAGAAGACACGGGTTTGATTCCCAGGCGGGATGAAACCTTAAACTTCTGTTCACCAGTAAGTAAGAACCCGGTTGTTAGTCGATTGGCGGATAACTTTCCAAGGGATAATAATCCCTCAAAAAAAAATGGTCATTCAATCCACAACTGTTTGTAGGACACTGTTGTGCACAATTGGCTGCCGTGTTTCGCCCATAAAATATATAGTGAATTCACTTTGTAGTATATTCTTCAAGTGCTTTGAGACGTCGTGAAGATATGACAAGGTGCTATATCAAATGCAAGGATTATTATTATATTATTATTATAATTATGGTGTCCTGTATTATTGTGGAGTCCTGTAGCTCAATAGTTTGAGCACTGGGCTTGGAAGCAAGAGACCTGGGTTTGATTTCTGGTAGGGCAAAACCTTGGGCAAGTTTCCTTACTCCACATGCCTGATAATAATCCCTCAAGAAAAAAAACAATAATAAATTGGTAATTTCAATCCACGACCGTTTGTGGGACGCTGCTATGCGCAATTGGCTGCCATATTTCGCCCACAAATATACAGTCAATTCACTTTACAGTATATTCTGTGAAGCGCTTTGAGACGTCGAGAAGACATGAAAAGCACTATATCAAATGCAAGGATTATTATTATAATTATATAATATTGGCATGACAAAAAGATTTCAGCACTTCCTTTCACCTTTGCTTTGTTGCAACACGAAACCGACACCTGGTGGATTGTGGCCAAAATGTCAATGTTTCTTTATATGAAGTGTATTTCCTTTCTTTTTATATTGTGCGTTGTCGACATGGTGTGACAGGCTATTTTCATTCAAGTTTTGCTGGAGCAGCTAGTTACAAGCTAAAAATAAAAACTACGCTTGTCACTGCATTTAGCGTCGAAATTACACGATCAGTCTGGATGAAAAAGGCCCTTTGACCGATCCAATCGCATCCCCCCAGAATACCTCCCCATCGTGCCCCCAACACAGCCACTGATCTTGGTTTCTACCACCAGTGGGAGGGTCACTCCTGGGCACAAATGGCTGCCGTATTTTGCCCACAAAACACACAGTTACTCCACTTTACAGTATATTCTGTGAAACCCCTTCAGACAACAACAACTTGCGTTTTTGTAGCGCCCTCCATGCTGGGTGGCGTCTCAGAGCGCTTAACAATGGGGGAGCCTGAGGCCGAGCCAGGGGGAGGGGGAGGTGACCGTAGGTGCGGTCGAAGAAGGTCTTCAGGTGCTGAGGATAGTGAAGGAGGGGGCGAGATGAAGGGGTTGAGGGAGAGAGTTCCAAAGTTTCGGGGTGTAGGGGCTGAAGCCACGGCCGCTGTTGGTGGAGCGGAGGATTCAGGAGACACGAGGAGGCCGCACCCAGTAGAGCGGACGCAGCGGGTATTGCTGTGGGGAGAGAGGAGGTCAGAGAGATGGTGAGGGGGGGGGCAAGGAATGGAAGGATTTAAACACTAGAGTGAGGATCCTGAAGTGGATCCGCTCTGTGACAGGAGCCAGTGGAGTTTGGCCAGGATTGGAGTAATCGGGAGTAAAGAGTAAAGAGACGGCTTCCGTCTTGTTGACATTTAACTGCAGGAAATTTGCGCTCACAAGTTCTTGATGTCCGACAGACAAGCTGACAGAACAACACAGGACTGGGGTCACAGCTGGAAATGGAAAAGTAGAACTGAGTGTCATCCGCGTACATGTGGGGGTTAACCCCGTCTCTGCGGATGACATCAACGAAAGGGAGCATACAGATAAGGAAAAGAAAGGGCCAATGATGGATCCTTGGGGTATCTGCCCCACAGGCAACCGAGCGGAAGCGAGAAGATTATTATTATTGTTTAGATGTCGTGAGACTTTAGGGTTTAAAATTATTATTAAGAAAACGTCTTCTTCAAAGGGGGGGGTGGGGTGGGGGGGGTTAATGTTTTGCAGATTTAACTAATAATTTTTTTGTTGAAACAATTAGGACACCCGCTGGAAGCAGTGTTTTCACATGTAAAACAGCAAAAGCCGCCGAATTGGGTTTGAATCCATCCCAATTGGGGGTTAAACCCGCCCCATTGGCATAAAACCGCCCAATTGGGGGTTAAACCCGCCCCATTGGCATAAAACCGCCCAATTGGGGGTTAAACCCGCCCCATTGGCATGAAACCGCCCAATTGCTCGTGAAATTGGTCAGATTGTACATCAAACCGCCCAATTGGGCGGGGAAACCCGCCCAATCCGGCCCAGATCACGTGAGGCAGCGGCCGGGCGGCAACATGGCGGCGGCGGCGGCGGGGCTGAGACGCGTTACCTGCTGTCGGCCCCGACCGCTCCTCAGCTCGGGGGCGGCCCTACCCTCCCCCCAGGCCTGGCCCTGGCCTCTGCCTCTCCTGCCTCTCCTCCTGCTCAGCGCCTCGGGGCAGCTGCGGGCGGCGGGGGCGCTGACGGTGGCCGCGATCCGGCCCGAGAGCACGGCGCTGGGCGGGCTGTCGGTGGAGGACGGGCTGCTGAAGGTGGCCGAGGGCTCGCGCTTCAAGCTGCGGGTGTACGGGACCGGCCTGCCCGGGGCGGGGGGCCGCGGGCCGGGGGGCGAGGCTCACGGGGCCCCCTGGTTGGCCTTCACTGAGGTGCGAGGCCCCGGGCAGCCCCAGCACCAGCACCAGGCCTGTCTGCACCAGACCACCCGCAGCCCCGACATCAACGTGTTGGGCTACTCCTTCCCGGACAGGGGCCACCGCTCGGCCGTGGTGGAGCTGGAGGCCAAGGCCCTGAGGAAGAACGAGAGGTGTCGCTAATTGCAATAACAATAACAATAACAAGAACAGTAATCCCGGACCCGGCGCCTGATCCCGTCCTCGAGACGTCTCAAAGCGCTTCACGGGACACACTGTGAAGTGTAGTGACTGCGTGTTTTGTGAGCAAAACGCAGCAGCCAATCGCGCTCGGCAGCGTCCCCACCAACAGTCCTGGGTTCAAGTGACCAAATTATCGTTATTTTGTTTTTGAAGGGATTGTTAACCCCGGAAAAGCGATCCGCCAATCCACTAACAACCAGGTTCCTGCTGACTGCTCAGTAGTAGTAGTAATAATTATAATAATAATCCTTGCGTTCGATACGGAGCCTTAACGCATCTTTGAGACGTCTCAAAGAGCTCCGCAGGACCCCCTGTAAAGCGGAGTGACTGGGTGTTCGGGTGTCACTGGCCTCCGCAGAGCTGTTAAGAGTTGCACGTTGTGATGTCACACAGAGAAGCGCTGTAATGATATCACAAACTCTGATGGTCACAGATAATAATAATAATCCTCGCATTTGATACAGCGCCTTATCACCTCGTTGAGACGTCTCAAAGCGCTTCGCAGGATATACTGTAAGGTGAATTGACTGTGTATCGGGTGGGCAAAACGTGGCAGCCGGTTGCGCACAGCAGCGTCCCACAAACAGTCTGGAGTAAGGAAATTTGTAAGGAAATTTTTCACACTGCAGATACTCTCGCTTGTGAGGCGAGCACACTATGCCAGGGAACTCCGCCGCACAAATTATGCTGGATTGAGATTAGCGTAAACCCAACCAATCTGGTAACATTGAGCGTTAGGGGAATAAACAAACAATCAAACAAATTGCACCTTTCACGTTAGCAGCATGTCCCCAAGGTGCTGGACAGTTGAGTTGCACCCGAGCTGAGAATTGGGATCAAAAGGGGACTGATGCCTATGTAGTCTGTTGCTCAAGGTCTCCTGGTCGGAAGACTGCAAATTTGTGCTTCTCCCGCTTCCACACCCTCCTCACCCCCCCCCCCCCCCCCCAGTGCAGTGGGTGGGAGGGCGACACAGGGAAGGCAGGAGAGCGGAAGAGAACAAAATAACAAATTACACTGACAAAGCGCCTTTCACGTTAGGAAGACGTCCCGAGGCGCTGGACAGTCACAGGTTTGGACTCAAGTTGGGGGTTGTGATCAGGAAGGATGGAGGGGAGGGCAGGAAAAGTGGGGGTAGCAGAATGACCGAAGGAATAGTCAAAAGAGGAGGGTTTTGAAACATGAAGGAGGCAAGAGAAGGGGCGAGGCAAAGGGACTCTGGGTTGGAATTTCAAAGGTTGGGTGCTTAAAGCCCGACCGCCAATGGTGGGATGTGGAGCGGCCATAGCCTGCTGAGCGGAGGGAGCAGGCAGGTCAATGAAACACCAGCGCAGACTTGATGCGCCAAACGTTTCTGAGCTTAACATTCTGTTATTCTAGGATCAAGTATTACTCGTTGTGCGCCAAGGTGGGAGGCCCGGGTGCTGCCAAGGGTTGGGTCCATTTTAAGACTGAGGACTTCCTCCTGGTGGTGGTGGAGCAGCAAAAGGTTAGCCCGCTCTGGCTTCACATCCTGGTCATCATCCTCTTCCTCTGCATGTCAGCCGTGGTCCGAGGCCTGAATCTCAGCCTTCTGGCTTTGGATCCAGTGGAGCTCAGGGTCATCCAGAACAGCGGAACTCAGTTGGAGAAGAAGTATTCCCTTCGTATCCAGGGGGTCAGAGAGCACGGGAACTACCTGCTGTGCACTCTCTTGCTAGGCAATGTCCTCCTCAACTCTTCCTTGGCCGTCTGGCTCTGCAAGATCTTCTACAGCACTTGGTTGACTATTGTGGTCTGTACCTTGTGTGTCTTGTTCATTGGGGAAATCGTTCCCCAAGCTGTATGCTCCAGGCACGGGCTGGCCATAGCCGCCAAGACCATCTGGTTAACCAAGTTTTTCATGGCTGTCACCTTCCCAGCTTCCTACCCCATCAGCAAAGTCCTAGATATGGTCTTGCAACAGGAGATCAGCACCTTCTACACCAGGGAGAAGCTGCTGGAGATGCTGAGAGTGACTGACCCTTACAACGACCTGGTCAAAGAGGAGCTCAATATGATCGAGGGAGCTCTCGAGCTCAGGACCAAGACGGTGGAAGACGTGATGACGCCTCTGAAAGATTGCTTTATGTTGAGCGCCGATGCAATTCTGGACTTCAACACCATGTCCATGATCATGCAAAGTGGCTACACCAGGATCCCTGTTTACAAGAACGAGCAGTCCAACATCGTGGACATACTATTTGTGAAAGATCTGGCCTTTGTGGACCCGGATGATGACATGCATTTGAAAACAGTAACGACATTTTACAATCACCCTCTGCACTGCGTCTTCAACGACACTAAGTTGGACGCCATGTTGGAAGAGTTCAAGAAGGGTGAGTCCACATTAATGTGCCTTCTCTTCGATCACGCCTTCGGTCACCCACTACCCCTTACCCTCCCTGCCCTCCACCTCTCCTCATTCCAACCCCCAGCTCGGGTCCAAATCACTGACTGTCCAGCATCTTGGAACATCCTCCGAAATGAAAGGTGCTATACAAATATAATTTGTTGTTGTTGGGCAACATGGAAGGTTGTCTTTTTGTGGGAGCTCGTAGTGCACAAAATGGCTGCTGCGTTCTCTGAAGCCCAGTCACTACACCTGACAGTAACATTTAGCAAAGCACTGACATTTTAGGTGCATTAAATGCAAGGATTGTAATGTGCAGCTGGTCCTCTTCTCACTCACCCCAGGTGCTTATAGTCTCGTCTCTTCCCTTCCCCTCCCCATTCTATTAGATTCAAACTGGGATATCTCATCTCATTCTGGCATCCCCTCTGCAGCCAAACTCTTAATGCAAAATTGTCTGCATAAAGTATTGCCCACAAAAATAATGATTGCAAACAATACATGTTTAAACCCCAGCCGGAACCTCTTAACCTGATTAAACGCACTGCTTCCCTAACCACTGCCCTTCCCATTCTCTCCACATGTGAATGTTATAAGGAGTCCAGTGGGACCTACCATCTTTTGAGCAGGTGTATCAGTTATAAAGGTACAAGAACATTCCTATCTGTAGCCGATAGCAAGCCTCGAGGGGGACCCAATTACTGGTCACTTTCCATGAATTGATTCCACACAACACAAAATATGGATTGATTTAGCACATATGGCTCTATCGGATCGTTTAAGACTCCAAACATTTTCCAGCTGCTTTGTCTGACACTGACAATGCAATGGATTTATTTCAACAAAGTGCGCTGGCTTTTTCTTAGAAAAAAATGTATAAGTTCCCAAGATAGACTCATTTCTCAGCTGCATCAACAACAACAGCTTGCATTTATATAGCACTGTCTATGTAGAATACGATCTTGGAGTGTTGCAGAAATGGTGTGGAAAACTGAGATTGGAAGGAGGTGGCTGTAAAGGCATAATAATAATAACCATTGCATTTGATATAGTGCTTTTCATGTCTTCTAGCACTTCTCAAAGCACTTTACAGAATATACTGCAAAGTGAATTGACTATATTTTGTGGGCGAAATGCGGCAATCAATTGCGCACAGCAGTGTCCTACAAACAATCATGGATTGAGTGACCAAATTATTTATTGGGTTTTTTTCTTGAGGGATTATTATTGGGTGTGTTGAGTAAGGAAACTTGTCCAAGGTTTTGCCCTGCCAGGAATCAAACCCAGGTCTCTCGCTTGCGAGGCAAGTGCTCTAACCACTGAGTTACAGACTCTTACATGGTTAGATTTGAAGAGGGATTTTAAAATAGAGAGAGGTGATAGAGGGTGAGACAATAACAACAAATTACATTTGTATAGCACCTTTCACGTTGAGGGAACGTCCCAAGGTGCTGAACGTCCTCCCGAAGTGAAAGGCGCTATACAAATGTAATCTTGTTGTTGTCAGAGGATAAAAGCATAGTGACTGGGAAGGCATGGCAGGCTTGTGTTCATCTAGTGGAGATCGAGAGCTTAAAACGTACGATTATTACGATCAGGGTCTCCACTGATAGCTGCAGTGTGTGACAGAATGCACTGAAGATTGTGCATTTGTCATTCCTTAAAATTGTTTATGCCAGTGAGCAGGACAACCATGCTTAAACCCTGCTTATGGACATTATTCCAGACATATTATTAACGTCTGTGTACGTAAAGCTTCAGAATAACTTTGGTCTCGCAGTGCGGAGCAACTGACAACCATGTGTAAGTTTGTTCTGAAAAGCTACTCTCATTGTGCAAACGTTCATCATCTCTGGAGGTTTAATAGTGAATACAAAATGGTATGACTGTCCATACTAGTAAAATGTATCGGTAAGCTAGTTCGCCTTTTAACACTGACATTTTCCAGATATTTAATTGCTCTAGGCATTATAAAAATACTTTTTTTTCTCCTCTTACACTCTGCCTGACCTAAGCAGAAATTCTGTCAAAATTGAAACCTTTGTATTTTGAAATACTGTACATTGCATCAGATCCTAGATGGGGATAAGATTTGGACAGGGATGTAACATGTAGACAGTATAGTAAAATGCACCTGCATTAATTGCTTGGCTTTAACATGAACTGAGCATGTGGTTTCTTGCCCTTCAGTCACAAGTCGTCCCTTGAGAGATCTCGCTAATGATGTTCCACTTCTTAAACCTGTGAGTGTAAATGTAGTTTGCCTTCAACCTCACTACACCTGACAGTAATTACTTGTAAAGTGTTTTGAGTTGTTTTGTTGTGATAAGGTGAATGGTGCTTTTCGAAAAAAAAATTAATTGCTGCCATCAATTCACAGTTTTGCTGAATATCCATGCAGGAGGATTCCAGAATAAATAGGTTCCTTGTAAAATCTAGTATATTATGACAGACAAAAACTACCATATAGGGATTTTTTAAGCTTGTAATATAATTGAGAGGTTTAGATAACATCAAAATGTACAAAGAGAAATCTTAAGGGCTCATAATTGTGATGTGAATTCAGCGGTTAGATTAGATTCTTGTAATCACTTCCAGGTATCCATTAATCTTGACATAATATATACAAGATAGCAAGTTTTCCTATACAATTTAGTGCAATAAGCTGCCGTGTAATAGTAAGGCAATATATCTGCAAATCCTGCATCGTAAGTGGACAATACCTTTCACCGCTACCGTGCCTTGTGTATTTTCGTCTTCAATCAGATTTGAAAAACATGATACCTACAATGGCAAGAAAAACTATTTTAAAATCAAAGTCAGCTAAAGATTTGAAAGTGGTAATTAAAACCTCAAAGTGAATTAAAGGTGGGTTCCTTTTGCTGTTTGATCTCATCTGCACCCTTCCACTGGCTTCATGCCTGTAACACATGTGCAAGACTATGTATTGTACAGTAATTTGGAATGCCAGGGAAAAAATGTCTTGAGGTTGGTCAGGTATTCTAAGCTTTCATTTCATACGTTATTTACATTTACTTTTGCTTCAGAAGTTTTCTATTTATAAACACTTCAAGACGCTACCCCGTGTGAAGTGCGCTATGTAAATGCAAGCTGTTGTATTGAGTTTCAGACAAACGGCTTGTACCATCACTAAGATTTTATTGGAAGTACCGGCCAATTTGTTTGGATCTGGAATGCATTGCCTGAAAGGGTGATGGAAGCCGATTCGATAACAACTTTCAAGAGAGAAGTAGATAGACATTTGGGGAGGACAAGTTTGCAGGGCTATGGGAAGAGAGCGGGGGAGTGGGATTGATTTGAATAGCTCTTTCAAAGAGCCGGCACAGACATGATAGGCCAAATGGCCTCCTTCTGTGCTGTACCATCCTATGATTCTATGAATTAACACCAATTCTCTTTTACACTACATAATAAAGCAGTTTAAGTAGGATTCCCCCTCTGAATAACTCTCAGCTGAAGTTGAGGAAAGCTCAATATGTGTGCAGAACTTTGACTGGTATCAGCTACGGTTACTGTCATTTTATTTATTGAAGCAGTGCTCCATTGTTAGAGGTACCGACCTTGGATGTGACCTTAAACTGTTGTGCTGTTTGTGCCTGTTACAGCTCTATTAAAGCCCCATGGCTCTATTCGAAAAGAGAAGGGATTTTCTTTCTTCGGGCCAGTTACACTATGTATAAATTAGTCGTTCACCTCATTGCTGTTTACGGGACCTTGCAAAATGGTTGCCGAGTTTACAAAATAAGTGAACACAAAAGAAGTCGCTGTGTTTCATGGTAGTAAATGTAAAAATGCAAAATCTTTCCTTCTCCCTTCACTTTTTTTAAAAAAAAGTTCTTCACATTTTTTCCAAGCAGATGTGATTACAGCTCGAAGGCTGGCCCAGCGGGAAAGCTGGGATTCATCTGGGTAGCCTGCTGATTCTTTAGTGGAAGTGATTCCGACACCTGCCCTAAAATAACTTTTCATTATTAATCTCTCTTTGCCAATTATAAGATTGAGTTTAAAAAGGAAGATATTACGCCTCAGGACTCTACCAAATCATTGTACATTTGCCCTGTCCCTTATGAGAGAAGAAAAATCCAAAAAATATTTCCATCTAAAGTTTGCAGTGTTAATAATACAGTGCAGATGTGCTGTGTTAAAGGCTTACCGCTGTGACTGTAGGATGCTTACAACACAATCCATTTGGTCCATTGCGAAAGTGAGGGATTGCAAGTGATGAATAATACAATGTTAGATTTGAAAGTTCGATGTCGTTCATTTAAATCAATCAAAGATGTTGAGCAGTTGTAGTTTTTTGATGAATTGCATCACAAAATTTTCTGTCCCATTTAGTTTTGCATTTTTGAGAGAATGGAAGCATGCTTTATTTTCCTGCGAAGATATTATGTTTTGACTGAATAACAATTATTTTTCTATAGAAATACCTGCAACACATGAGAGCAATTGATTAAATTGTTTGATTTACAGTGAAGCTATACCTCCACGCATTGTTCAAAATAATGTTTCAGATCCATTGCTGACTGTAAAGATGGAAATAAGGAGCAAATGTATCTTATTTTTAAAGGAAGTGTATTCAGTAATTTCGTATTGGTGATGAAATTGTTTCCAGCACTTACACCGCAAGAAACCTACCACGTATAAATGCTTACAATCCTCTCTTGAATAAAGTAAATTGTAGGTTATCCCTCCTGTCTTGCCGAAGTTGTTGTTTTCAAGCCTGGGTGTGCTGTTTCTTCTCACTTGTAGGTCAAGTGCAAGGATTTCTAGTCCCCAACCCCACTCAGTTCCCAATCTGATGTATTCAGAGAGGGGGCTGCTGAACTGATATAGTAGTTACACTGATTCATAGAGTCTGTTTATTTCATTTCCCTGCCTCACCTCAGGTATGGGGTGTTTAAATTGGAAATAGGTGGATGGATGGATAGATACTGGGAGCAAGATATTTAGGAAGTATTATTAAAGGATATGGAGAAAAGACAATCAATTTATATAGATCCACTAATATGTGGATGAGCCATTAATCTGGTATACAGAATGGATTGAGTTTAGATTACTGCAAAGCATCTGACACAATCAAATTACAATGCAAAGATATGGTGCTGATATACCAGATATTAGGGTGTGAAAATGTAGGATTTTGAAGATTGTGTGATGTAATCCATCTTAAACTGTGATTTTAATCATCGGCTAATTGTCTTGGTATTAACAGAACATCTGGTGAATGTCTGTCTCTTTCCTGCGTGCTTGAATACTCCGTATTTAATACTAGGTCAAGCACAGTGCGTGTTGAACCTCCAGATGTTTGTTTACGATCCAAATTCTGTTTGAGGTCGACATAGTATTGGTGCTTCAACTTCTCACAATGCACCTCGCACAGCTTACAAGGGTCTGTTGAGTATTATGCTCTGATCCAGGGTTTTTGCATCTGGAGTAGGTCCACGGCAGAGAATGAGTAATAACAGTATTTCAGTCTCCTCCACGGGTCAGATAGACTCTGCATATATTCTATGCGTCATGTGGCCTTTAAACCCAACCCGTTCTGCACAATTTCAAGTCGCTCTGTAAAAACAATACTAATTGCAGTAATCTGTGTCCAGTAAACTCATCACTCCAAGGGAAAAGGGATCAGTGATGAGATACCCAGAGTAGTGAGTTACCCATATGCATTAATACATAACTAAATGCAGCCAGGATATTGACAGCTCTATGATTAGTTAAGTGACAAGTTAAACCAGGGTGTCGAGTTATCAGGAGTTGACTGTACTTGGATATCGGCTTCCTGTTCTTACTTTAATATGAACCCTAATCCGTGAAACACAAATAACACTTTAAACACTTCGCTTGTGCTCACCATAATGTTTTTCCCTTTTATTTTCTTGTCGGATGTTTTCCAGTTGTTGATATTGAAACTTATTGGATTCCACCCTTCCTTTTGGAAGATGTGGTGGGAAAATGTTATTGGTTTGACACCAGCCTCAAAGGAAATGTAAAAGGTCCATGATTGATGTATCTGTCTCAAATCAGATGAATAATGTGGGTGGAGGGGTCCTTTTCTTCTACGAACTTTCCAACTGACCTTATCCAGCCAGATTGCTGTACTTCACTCATAGTCATAGAACATTACAGCACAGTAACAAACCATTCAGCCCATCGCATCTGCACTGATGTTTTTTTTTCCAAATGAGTTGCCAAGTCCCGTAGCATTATGGTTAGAGCGCTCGACTCGCAAGCGAGAAGACTCGGTTTCGATTCGTGGCCGGGCAAAACCTTGGGCTAGTTTCCTGCCTCTGTTTGCCTAGCAGTAAATAGGAACCTGGTTATTAGTGAATTGGCAGAAAATCCAGGGGTAATATTGTGCCCCGCAAAAAAAAAATTGGGTCACTGAATCTCTGACTGTTTGAGGAACACTGCTGTGCATAATTGGCTGCCGTGTTTCTCCCACAAAATACACAGTCAATCTCCGTAGGGACTGTTCGATGCCTTTACTGCTCGCTAACTGAAGCAGTGTTTCCGCACATGTTCCTCCCCGGCAGCCTGTACATAAAGGACCCCTGCCTTAGCTCAGTGCAGGCAGGACCATGCACAGGCTGCTCAGGGGTACATGGTGGCCAAGTTTATCCCAGTTACAAGAAAAGACGCCTTGGTTTGTAATCATCTCACTCTCCAATACCTGCCCTCCCCCATCCACACAGTCAATAATAATAATTGTGGAGTCCTGTTAGAGCAATCGCCTCGCAAGCGAGAGGATCTGGGTTCGATTCCTGGCAGGGTGAACCTTAGGCAAGTTTCCTTACTCCACACGGCTCTGGAAACCTAGCAGTAATTAGGAATCCGGTCGTTAGTTGATTAACAGATCACTTTTCCGAGGTAGTAATCCCATCAAAAAAATAATAATAGTAGTTTGGTCATTCAGTCCACGACTGTTTGTGGGTCACCGCTGTGCCTAATTGACTGCCGCGTTTTGCCCACAAAATATACAGTCAATACAATTTACAGTATATTCTGTGAAACGCTTTGAGAAGTCTCAAAGACATGATAAGGCGCTGTATCAAATACAAGGATTATTATCATATCTTGTGAAGTGCTTTATCAACAATGTGAAAAGGAGCCATATCAAATGCAAGTATTATTACCGTTATCTAATCTTGTACTCCTACTCGCATACCCTTTAATATTGCTTCCCTTCAATCATCCATCTAATTCCTCATTAATAGAAGATTTGACTCTGCTTCAACTTAGTGGCAGAGAATTCCACATTCCAACCACTTTCTGTGCAAAGAGAATTTTTTTTTCGCTTTTCACTACTGTTCGCATTGAGTGGTATCTTGCAGTTCCCCTTGAGACTGCAAATATATTGTGGTGGTGCAGTAAAGTGTTCATCATATCCCCTTGGAATTGAGAAGACAGATGATAGTCCAGGCCAAACATTATTGGCAATTCAGAAGCTAGAACCTACTTATTTCTTAAGCCAAAATAACTGAATGCAATTTTCAGTTTGCAATGGTCTTGGTTAGGGAAGATATGCCCATTAAATCACTGTAGTTTTAGCGCTCATAATAATTCAAATATACTGGCACAAGATCACAAGAGAGAAGCATGGATAAAGAAGGCCCATCCTTTGTTTTGATCCCATCCTTCCAGAATACCGATCCAACCCATTTGGAAGGAGAGAAATAATTTGAATTGTAGATTCTTTCCCCTTTTCTCCTCCCTCTTTGTTCCCCTCTCTTCCCACCCCCCCACCCCATGTGTTCACGTAATTTATACTTGTATCGCACTCCTCACACGGATAGCATCTCAGAGCGCTTAACAGTGGTGGAGGGTCTACATACGCATGCACCCACCCACACACATACAAATACACACACATGAATCATGAAGATGAAGTCATTCTGGTTAACAAACGCACTGGCGTTTGCTTACAAAACAGTCAGTTCCATTTGTTCCAAAGAGCCTGATGATGCCGACAGAGAACAGCAAAGTACAGCAATCACGTCATTCTTGGGGAAGTGGCAATGCCCAGAGAAACTGCAGTTAAGAAACTTCATCAACCGTGAAACCTTTGACTTTGTGGTTAAATAAAGCACTGCTTGACAGCGGGATCCCCATGAAAGGAAGTTGGTCTGAGAACCATCAGCTCTCATTTAAATGTTGTGAAGTGATTTCAAGGAGAAGGCGCGTGGCATTGAAAAGACGGAGGAAAGGAAATTGCTAAACATAAGCATTACAGACAGGAAATGACACCACATCTGTTTAAGACCCATTTGTCTCATTTGATGATGCCTTCTTTTACTAATTACTTAGCAAATTCAGGTGTCAGTCTGTCGCTCTATCACCTCAGGTCAATAGGTTATGAATTGAAGCTCCACGTGGATCTTATAGTCTAGGTTAGCACTTGGATTCAGGACTGGGGGAGCCCTGTATTGCCTGCAATACTACCTTTCTGGAAGAAATACAACCAGAGAACTGTCAAATAAGTTATTTGTCTTTGCCGATGGGGGGGATGTTGGGGAAGGAATAATTCCTCATTTCTTGTTGGCGAAAGCCGGTGTTTCAGCCCACCACAGGCAAACTGCAAATGGATTGTTTCCTCTCTTCCCCCCCCCCCCCCCAATATGTTTTATCCACATAGTGATGGAGCCTGATGTCTTGTGCTTGTTTCTGTGCAGGTAAATCTCACCTGGCAATAGTACAGAGAGTCAACAATGAGGGCGAGGGTGATCCCTTCTATGAGGTATTGGGGATCATCACCCTGGAAGATATAATTGAAGAAATTATAAAATCTGAGATCCTGGATGAAACAGACTTTTACAGTATGTATTGCATAATTAAACAGCCAAGAGACTCGAGGGCTCCTGAGTTTTCACTGTAATAAATTGGCCTTGTGGATAACTGCCAAGGATGGATGTGTTAATGGCATGATTTTAATTAATAATAGATAAGCATTCCACCTTCAGTGGGACTGTTAGACAGTAACCTTATGAGATGCCTGAGTTTTTCAAACTGTTCAGTAATTTGCAGTTAAATTCTTGCTGCAGCCTGTGTCGTGCACCTTGTGAGCTGCTTTTGTTTATTTTATGATGAATGTTTCTGCCTGCCTGAATGTGCTTAGGATTCCATTGATCTCCCCTTGCTCTTCCCCCTCCTCTCGCTCCCTCCCCCCTCCTCTCACTTCCTCCCCCCTCCTCTCGCTCCCTCCCACCCTTCGCTTCCTTCCCCCCCTTTCACTCCCTCTCCCCCCCCTCGCTCCCTCTCCCCCCCCCTCGCTCCCTTCTCCCCTCTCGCTCCCTTCCTCCCCTCTCCCTCCCTCACTCCCCCCTCTCCCCTCCCTCCTCCCCCCTCTCCTCTTCTGTCCAGTCATGTATCCTCATGGGAATCCTTCGATAGGGAGCACCACGCTTTTACCACCAGATGTAAATTTTCTCCTCCCACCTTTCACGAGCAAATCGTGTGTGATCGTGCAAACGAAATGGAAGTGAGTATTAATGACGTGCAAAGTATAGTTCAGCTTATTCCTCACTTGGGTTAAGCCAGAAAAGCCTCTTTGTTTTGCATTTGATCCTATTCAGAAGAGAAGTCCGAGAAGGGAGTTTGAAATATAATCCACAATATGTGAGTCCACTCATTTGACCAAGTTCCTGAATAGGTTGAATGTGTTTGGTTTTCAACGTATCAAAGCACAAAGTATTTTGCACCTTTCCTCTGTTCTAGGAGTTTAAAACCTAAATTTACACAACCTTTCACCACAGCAAAACCCCTTTCACCCCAGCTAGTAATCCTGTTAACGCCAGTGCAACCTCTTCTAACAACAACTTGCATTTATATAGTGCCCTTTGTGTATGATAACTTCTCCGAGTGCTTAACAATGACTGGATTGCCAGGCAGAGGGATTATGACCGTAGGCACGGTCGAAGAAGTAGGTTTTAAGACTGGATTTAAAGATAGACAGAGAAGATTTCCTAATGTCGTTGGTCCAAATCTAAACAGAATTTTTCAAACAAATTCTGACCAGTGCTCTGCACAACTGTAGCAGAACTTCCTTGTGTTTATATTGTATTCGCTTGTTATAATGCCATGAAGTTAGCCTTTGTGATTGAAGTTTCTATCAGTGTAATTAAACCTTTCTGTAGCCACTTGTAAAGATTCTACCAATTCCAAAGGGGGCAAACCTCCAATGATTCGGGTGGGGGGGCTCTCCTTGGAGTTGAACTGGTGTCCATTATGTGGTTTTAGCTGATTCAACTCCAGCAGTACCTAACACACACACACACACACACTAGGATCCCTAAGCCTTGACTCTTGCCAAAGTATGTGTCCACGCCCGCCCCCATAGAGAGATTCCAGACACGGGAATTTCCATGTATAGCTGGCATTCCTGGACCTCCGGTTTGAATACCCTTTAGCATTATGATGGGTTTCTGCATGTGTCAAACATCCGGCTGACCAAGAAAGAGATGTTTGGAAGCACATCAAGAGAGCTCTTGGGTATTATACAATTGGGGAGATTGATTGCCTTGCAGGGCGTCAGCTCAACTTGTAAATAAACCATCTACCTTATTGTTTATGTAATCCACGCTAACCTGATTTATTGCAGACCAGATGATTAGAACTGTGTGTTTGACCTGACCGAACAACTTACCTAGATAATGCTGTATATCATCTTTGGGTCTGCAACTTTCTCTGCTTTCCTACTGATTCCTAGACAATCCTGGTGTAGAATTGATTTTATTTTCAGGAGCTCAGATGTTTCTCTGGTGGGACATGTCAGAATACATTAAATCAAACCAAGAGATCTTTTGTAATCTATCATCTTCCACTTCCGTACCCTCTTCAGGTCCCTCTTCATTCCTTGTGGCCCACCTCCTCTTCTCCGGAGTGACTTACAATCAAGTCCTAAGGAAGATTTTCTCCCGTGGAAGCAGATGGCTGTGACTCCTCTGTCCGTCGTCCTGCAGACTGCTCACACACTCCTTTGTATACAATATAAGAACATGACGGTGAGGAAAGAGCATTCAGTGCATTGAAGCTGATCCTCAGCTGCTGTGTTACCTTAACTCCATTCACATTCTCCTGCCATGCCCCTGCTCTCTGGAACTCTCTTCCAAAATCTCTTAGCCTTTTTTTCTCCTTCCCTGTCTTCAAAGTCGTCTAAAAACCTATCTCTTGGACCGTGCCTTTAGTCAACAGCTTTACTTCTCCCTTCTCAGCACTGGGAGATGTTCTCCTATGTGATGAGCACTGTAAAATTGCAAGTTGTTATAGTTTAGTCAGATGCCCTCAAGATGCAGTCTGTTATTTCCAGTCATTGACTGAAAACCATCAGTGAATGATCAGGAATCTCTCCCTAAACCATTTCCTTCTCTACCTCCGCGAATGGACATCCTTTCTGCTGAATTGACCTTAAAAAGTTGCAATATTGTTCAGTTGCAAACACTTTCTTGTTATTTTTGAATGAAAATTTTATTTCAAGTAAAATTTCCACCCTATCTTATCTGTACTATAAACCTCAAGTAAGGCCCTCTTCCCACCCCACAAAAATCCCTACCACTATCCTCTTTCTGGGCTGTAGAGTTTTGTATCTGCTGTGATTGATGTTTCTGTGTTTGTATAGAGAAAACTTGTTTCTGCACTCTAATGTTCCTTCACGTTTGATCTGGCCCTTTGCTTATTTTCCTGTGATTAAGAATGAAAGCTCATTCTAAAATGAACTCAACCTTTGGTAACAGAACTTCTTTTTCAAATCCACTTCCTTAGCCGATAATTCACTGAAAACAAAACTCTTAATTTAAATACAAGAAAATCAGTTCCAAAAGGTGGAACTGAATACACTTATGGTTAATCAACTTTACCAGGGTCATCCAACTGGCCGATTTCATCTGCTCCCCACCCCACCAATTACATCTGGCCCACCCGTTCCCTCCATAACCCGGAAATGTTATGTCATGTTTCTGGAAGGGAAACACAAAAATATTGTGGCCCGCGAACGTTTCTCAAGTAGGACATCTGGCAGCCGAAAGGTTGCACCTTGCATCTAGATCAACCAGCAAAGTGGGAGGGAGAGTCACAATAAGAGAGGAAGGCAGCGGAGGAAGAGCGGACTGGATTTGCTAACAAGCTGATGAGATCCCTTGTTCTTCCACTTGAGAAAGTTCATTACTCCTGTAATTATGCCTTCAGTTTTAGTGGCAGTGATTCTATTGGGGCACCATTGTACTCTGAACTAGGTGGTTGCCAGATCACGGGCCTGATTGGGGAGATTGCCAATTGTGAATTAGGCCAGGGTGGTCCAACTGGTGGCCCGTGGGCCGCATCCTACCCGGGGATGATTTCATCAGGATCATGTACCATTCCCTACTTCATTGTCCACCGAGCAAATACAGGTGACACGCAGGCTCCAAGCCACGCAGGAGACGGTCATGGGGGGGGTCAGGCTATGCCAATCAGGATAAAGTATTACCTGTGTGGCCCGCAGATGTCCCTCAGCTGCCAAAAAGTTGGAGCCCCCCTGATGTAGACCACTTGCTGGGTAACAACATGATCCTCTCTGCACCATTGAAGCAACTTCTCATGCAACGAACGAGCCTCAATAGCCAAACCCACGCAAAAGGAATGATAGGCTGGAGTGGCTTGTGGTTATGTTGAGAATCCATTTTATTGATTCAAATCCAATAATTATGATTGCAGCAGACAACAGGACAAAGAAGATAGCTCACAGAGATCGAAAGCCGCAAGACTTCTCGTTGTTCAAACTCTCAGATAGTGAACTGAAGATCAAAGTTTCACCTCAACTGTTACTAGCAACTCACCGCTTTTTAGCAACAGGTACAGTGTGTGGTGTGATGTGTTCTCCATGTGTAGGTTTGGCTCTGTTGGCAATGCACTTAACTCCTAGGATAGAAGCTGATGGGTTTAATATCTGCGTTGAGATTCTGAGCTCCTAGTCTAGGTTGCCAATCCCAGTAGAGTGTCGGGGAGCACTGCATTGTCGGAGGTGCCGTCCTTCGGGTGTCTCATTAACCAAGGACTGACTCACTTTATATCACTCACTGGTTCAAAATCTGCCCATTCACATTTCACTAACCACAAATGTCCCAAAGGTGAAGTTACAGTTAATACAAAAAATTCAGTTTGGAAATGCTGCAAATGTACACTTCTACATGAATGGAGGAGGGGAAGGAAACTACTGAGGCCTGTGTCTCCGCATGCTATTGTCACATGTGAAAGACATGCTGCAGACCAGTTACAAACATTGATGGCCGAAAACCATGGTCCATAGTTCATACTCCATAGTCGCATGCTACGATAATGGAGATGCTGATAGTATATAACTCTGTATGGATTAGTCTGCACAAAGGAGCTGAACTGCTTTCTTCCCCTTTGTTTAGAGGTGGAGCCCTTTAAAAGCACCTACATATCAGAAAAGATACTGCTGAGACTACTGAAACACCCCAGTGTCATCCAGGAGTTAAAGTATGATGAGAAAAATAAGACGTCCAACAGCCAGTATCTGTACCAATGGAACAAGCCTATTGACTACTTTGTGCTTATCTTACAGGTATATGTTGTCCTGAGCTGAATGCCTTCCCTCTCCTCCTGGTATACGTTTGAGATGTGTGGAATATTTGAATGCAGATAATAATAATGATCCTTGAATTTGATATTATGCCTTGGAGAAGTCTCAAAGTGCTTCACAGAGTATACCATAAACGGATTGACTGTGGGTGAAACACTGCAGCCAATTAAGCACAGCAGTGTCCCACAGTCGTGGATTGAGTGACTAATTTTTGGGGGGATGGGGAGAGCATTATTACACCCAGAAAGCGATCCGCCACTGAGTCATTCCGTCTGTGCACCCTCTCCCCCCACACCCCACACATACACGCGCACAAACCCTCGTACTTGCACACTAGGCTGAGCTATTATGGGAGATGTCAATCAAAGTAAAAGTGCATCCCATAAGAGACCAAATAGAAATCTTAAGGCAAGTCAATCCTATTATCCCATCTCCTCGCAATTGGAGTAATTTCAGGAGAGTCCTGGTTGCAGGTTGCCAGGCACGAACACAGTTTGAGGGTGGGAGTCGGAGAAACAAATGGGAGAGTTGATGTGTTTGTCCTGGATCTTGATCAAGTTTTTGTAAATAAATCATTTGGTTTTCCTTTGTGCAGGGAAAAGTAGAAGTGGAAATCAGTAAAGAAGCCTTGAAATTTGAAAATGGAGCATTCACATACTATGGAGTCCCGGCACTTACAGCTGTACTTCCTTCAGGTAAAACTTTCTTGATTTTTTAAAGTATATCATTGACGGTCAGGCCTTCAGCCTTTCTGCCCCCACCCTTTGCAATTCCATCTCACAGTCCCTTACCTCTTCCCCCCCCCCCCCCCCCCCGGCCCAGTTATGTCCTTCAAATCCAGTCCAAAGACCTTCCTCTTCAGTCTCCCCTCTCAGCCCTCCTGATCTCCTGATCCTAACTCCCAGCTCAAGTCCTAATCCCTAATTGTCCAGCGCTTTGGGAAGTCCTCCCAACGTGAAAGGCCTGGTGTTATATATATAACAACAAACAAGATTACAAATCTATATAACAATATATATAAGCCATAATCTAACAACACTGAGCAATGTTTGCCATCTGCCCTTCGCCCTGTCCCATCTCTTTCTTTAGTCAGAGTGCAAGCCTCAGTGAAGTTGTATATACTTTCTTTGCACTGATTCACATCCTTGTGCATTAAGATTACAGTTACCAACTACTCACAGAAGGTTTGGCTTACTTACAATTTCGAGTGGGCATTTGTCTGCATGTGGACATCTGTATGTAGAGGCTGTATTTTGCCTCCTGATGTAAAAGACGCTATACAAATGTAATTTGTGGTAGGTGGCAAGATAACTTAATTAGAGCTACAGTAATTCAGGAGCGCATATTGGTGAAGATTGCCCACCAAGGGTTACTGCACATCCCTTTTTGTTTTTGTCGTATGGGCACAAAAGAGATTTTTTACTGTTCACAGGGTTTGCTTCTGAATGTAGCCAGCACTAGAGCGGTTGGTGACTTTGTTCAAGATTGGTTCAAAATACTTTATAATTCTCTCAGCTCAGAAATACAATTGGTGAGTTGGCGAACAAGATGAGGCAAGTCGAGAGATGGATGAGTCAGGATAAACCTCATTCTAAACTTGCCCCAGAAAAGCCACTCTGCAAAATTTTGCCTACCAAAGAGAGTGCGGTACGAGTCTTTGTAAAGTTGTGTGTGTTTGTGTGTGTGAATATATAAATATATTATGTAAATAAATATAGATATTTTAAAACGAGGGGGGAAAAAAAGAGAGACACAGATGAGCAAGCTTATAAGAAACAGCTACAAAAGAGAGATGCTTCGGTTGTTCCAATGCTAAGGATTTTAGCCACTGAGCTCTCAATTGTCTTGTAGAGTCCTTAGGTTATTGAATAGAGTACTCGTCTCGTAAGTGAGAGGACTTGGGTTCGATTCCCGGGAAGGGAAAAATCTTAGGCAAGTTACTTTACTCCACACGTATTTACCTAGCAGCAAATAGGACCCCAGTTGTTAGTTGATGGGTAGATCGCTTACTGGGTTAATAATCCCTTCAAAAAATTAATAAAATAAATTATTTGGTCACTCAGTTCATGACTGTTTATGGGATGCTGCCCTGCGCAATTGGCTACCGCTTTTCGCCCACAAAATCCACTTTATAGTAAATCCTATGAAGCGCTTTGGGACATCTCAAAGTCATTGTGAGACACTATATCAAATCCAAGGATTATTATTATTATAAGCAATGAATCTTAATTCCCAAACTTTCAGCACTAGTAGTCTGTCACTGACCACCTAGTCCTCCTCACCCTTTACTCACCAAGACTGTATTGAGAAAGCTCCAAAACTCAAAATCTTAGTGATCACCAAAACTGTCCTAGAGAAGAGCCATCAGTCTGGGATGTGAACTTCAGTGGGATGGAAAAAGGGCAGGTAAATTGGATTGAAAAGATTGTTCATCTTGAAAAGATGACGAGCACATGATGGTCTGAATGGCTGCCTTCTGTGCTGTAAGTGAAAAAAAAATAATTTGGTCACTTAATCCACAACTGTTTGTGGGATGCCGCCGTGCGCAATTGTGTTTCCCCCACAAAGTATATATTCACTTCACTTTACATTATACCCTGTAAAGCGCTTTGAGATGTCTCAACAACGTGATAGCAACAATTATTATTTTATTAATTATTATTTTAAACATTTCTATGGTTCTATGGATATGATCACTGTCCCCACAAGTGAACGTTCTGGATTAAAATCAAAGGAAACACTCAGTCTCCTGGGTGGTTTGAAGGTTATTGTGGTTGCAAAACAATTCATTGAATTGATCTTGGCTTTCAGAGAATTAGTTTTGGGAAAGTTACACGTACTGAGAATTGACTGAACACTTGGTCACAGTTAGGCTGGATATGAGCGAAGCAGTCTTCTTAACATGTCAAAGCCAGTTCTTTTAATCAAGATTTATTGCAAGAAAATTCACTTTTTCTGGAGACCCATTGCGTGGCTTTGACGTTTGTGGTGATTGTAACTGTCGGTGTCACTGATCAATAGAGGGCGCTGTAACACACTGTTCCATCTGTGCGCTCAGCAGCAATGGGAACAAACTGGTGTTAATGCGAGAGAGAGAGAGAGTTGGACAAAAATCATCCGCTGACATCCTGCTAATGTCCTGTAAGCAGCCTGTAGCTCAGTGGTTAGAGCGCTCGCCTCACAAGTGAGAGACCTGGGTTCGATTTCTGGCAGTGCGAAACATTGGGCAAGTTTCCTTACTCCACACGCCTGATAATAATCCTTCAAGAAAAAAAACAATAATTTGGTTAATCAACCCATGACTGTTTGTGGGACGCTGCTGTATGCAATTGGCTGCCGTGTTTTGCCCACAAAATGTACAGTCAATTCACTTTACAGTATATTCTGTAAAGCTCTTTGAGACGTCTAGAAGACGTGAAAAGCGCTATGTCAAATGCAAGGATTATTATTATTATAATGTGACAACTTACATTGATATGGCACCTTTCCCATAAACTAATATCTTGATGCGCTTCCCAGAATAAAATGAATTTGACCTTTAAGTAAATGTTACATAGGCTGTATAAAGAGCTGCCCAGCGTGAGGGGCACTAATTGTTGTTGTTAATGCACACATGGCCATTATAATATGATAACCTGGGCCCATTATCTCAGAGGCCATGTTATAAACCAAATGCCAAAAAATTCTGTACCGTAGAACAGTCCTGGGGAAGCGGGGTTGTGATCAAACAGATCCTGTCTGACATTTCAGGTGGACAATAAAGATTCCACACCGCTATTTGAAAAGTGAAGGGAGCTTCTCTCTTCCAGTGTCCTGAGCAACAATCCTCCAGATAAATTAACCATTCACCTCATGGCTGCCTGTGGGTTTGTCCTGTTAGGCAATGGCTGCCATGGATGCCCTTGACAGTAATTGCTTGTGAAGTGCTTTGAGGCGGTTCATTATAGCAACAAGCTATTAAATAAAAATCACTTTCTTTTTGCTGTTGTGGCCTGGACATAATATAACGTAGAACAATAAGACAGACCAACATCGGTTTTCCTTAATTCTATTCTATTTTTGTGCGTTTCTTAGTGAACAGATCACCGTCTCACAGCAGTGGAATACAGCGGTCAGACTCGCTATATCGAACAGACTATGGCGGCAGCTCTAACCAGCTAAACATCAATTACATCTACCTTCCAGACTACTCTGTGCGGTTATTAACCGATCTCCAGTTTGTAAAGGTACAATCCCTTTCTCCTACAGTACATAGCGGTCGGTCTATTCATTAAAGACTTTAAGCCTTAACTGACTTAACTGACTTAAAGACAGTTCGTGTAGACTGTTAAAAACAAAAAAAAGTGTTGTGTGCTTGATGCCTCTACATTATTAAGGCTACAGCCTTGCCAACATTTTGCTTTGGGTCTGTACAGAGTGCTGCGGCGATCGTTCAAGTTGCAAATATTTTCTCAGTCACTTTATCTGTACAACTGGCAGCCTTGAGTTTCCACACTAAACTTGTGGAAGTTCTTTTGGGAACAAAGCAAAGCAGGTTTATGATCAGAACCCCTCCATTTCATCTTTCTAGTCGATCTCATTTACAAATAGTGTCCCTTCATATCTGTCGTGCCTCCCCCCACCCCCCCCACACACAGCCAAACGCATGCCAATTCTCAGTTGAGGTCGCCCATTGGAACATCAGGTATCTTGACAAAAAGCTACACTGTTCTTCAGTTATAAATAAATAGCAATGGCAGAGTTTGCCAGTTTGTGGTTCAGTAACTGCTGTTCATATTATTGTAAGCTGCTATTTGCCGTGACTTGTTCACTAGCCCCAAAAAAACAAAGTCATTGACTTAGAACCATGGAATGTTTCAGCACAGATTCGAGATAACCGTCAAAGGAACCAGAGGAGAGATGAGAATTTTTTTATGCAGCAAGTTGTTACAGTCTGGAATGCACGGCCTGAAAGTCTGGTGGAAGCAGATTCGATAGTAGCTTTCAAAAGAGAATTGGATAGGTACTTGAAAAGGAAAAAAATTGCAAGGCTATGGAGTAAGAGCGGGGAGTGAGATGAATTAGAAGCTCTTTTCAAGAGCTGTCACAGGCACGATGGGCCAAATGACCTCCTTCTGTGCTGTAGGATTCTATGATTTTCTATAGGAGGGCTGACTAAAAGCTTTTTGTTTAGCCCCACTCTTCCCATTTTACTCTTTTATTACTTGTTCTTTTCCAGACATTTGTCTAATTCCCTTTCCATAGCAAAAGCCGTGGAACTCAATCGCAGGTTATGTACTGAATTAAATGTAGGAAATTGTGGTTTGGTCGTGATTTAGCCTTTTGTAAACTGCTCATTAAATCTGTCTCAACAAACCTTGGTCTTGTGTTTATATTTTGTCTTCAAATCCCAGAGACATTTTATTTTGGGCAGACGTTAGTTATGTTTTCTAATTTCAGGTTTATTCTTGAATCAACTCAAGACTTGTTGACAAAGTATTTTAACTTGGTTAATGTTTTCTTCCCCTCCGATTTATCAACAAATTGTAAACGTTGTTGATAACCAAAACCAATGGCAATTTCATGTGAATAACAAAATATCCTTTTTTGATAGCATAAGTTAAAGTTATTGGTGATACCAATTCACAGATGCCTGGAAAAATTCAGGGAAGATTTTATCAAAGGTTTCAGTGCCCTAAAGGGATATCAGCAAGTGAAACGTGACAGCTTGGCTCAGTTGGTAGCATACTTAGTCACAGCGTAGCTCAGTGCTCTAGTCCACACTTACACTCCAGTACAGCAGGAGCTCTGCATTGTCAGAGGTGCCATTTCTTCGGGAGACATGTTGGGTCCTATTTGTCTGCTCAAGTGATGTTGAAGATCCCGTGTCACTGTTGGAAAACAATAATAATAATCCTTGCATTTGATATAGCGCTTTATATATCGTTGATGTGTCCCAAAGAGCTTCACGGAATATATTGTAAATTGAATTGACTGTATATTTATTCGACGAAACCCTGCAGCCAATTGCGCACAAACAGACGTGGATTGAGTGACCAATTTTTTTTGTGCGGGGTGGGGTGGTGGAAGGATTATTACCCCAGGAAACTGATCTGTCAATCGACTAACAACTGGGTTCCTACTTACTGCTAGGTACCTAGAAGCTTGTGAAGTAAGGAAAGTTGCCTAAGGGTTCGCCTTTCCTGGGAATCAAACCTGGGTTGTCTCGCTTTTGAGCCGAGTGCTCTAGCCACGACACTACAGCCTCCATAAGCGAAGCTGAGGAAATTTCTCCCAGTGTCCTGCCCGACAATCGTTCAGATAAAATTGTTCACTCACTTCATGACTGTTTGTGGGAATTGCCATGTGCAAATTGGCTGCCTACAAAATACAGTCACTACATTTAAATCTTTAACCTGAATCCGTGTTATGGGCACGATATGGGATCGCTTATTAGATTGATGTAGTTTGTTGTAAAACTCCGCCTCTCTCTGTCTTTGCTCAGATCACCAGGGCACAGTACACAAACGCCTTGTCAGCCTCGCGGATGGACAACTCTCCCCAGACTCCCGACCCTGACAATCAGATACCCTCATCAAGCAGCAGAGACCTGAGCAACATGCCAACAGAATCCACCAGCCTGCTGATCGAAAAACTCCCTGTGATTCGTAAGTCACTCAGTAATCACTCTGCCCAGGGCAAGGTATAGCTGGAGGGGACACCCACAGCCAAGCTCGGGTGTAACAGCATCTTCAGACTCCCGCCAGCACAAACGTTCCAGCTTTTATTGGGGTTTTTGAAAAAAAAGTCAAATTGGGATCATCTAACCGTCCTGAATTACTGGACCAAAGCTATCATCGTTTCCATGCTTTGTCGGTTAATGGCTGCTGCTGCATTTCCTCCTCGCCATTAAACCTCACGGCCATGAGCACAATCAGAACCTTGGTTATTTCATCTTTCGTTCCACCATTTTGCTGTATGTATCTCGAGCCCTGCACTGACTCCAGTTGCATACGTTTACAACAGTCTCAAACAGCTCTTAAACCCCGAAGACTGACGACCTCGGAATGCTGTGTTGCAGAGAACCATTGCTTGTGTGTTGTGTTATTTTGTACCGTTATTTTGTAAAATTCTATTTAATTTTGTCAATTTAGATCCAATGTGTGCAAGCGTTGTTTTTATTTTTTATTTGCTCATTTGTGTTTGTCATATTTATTCAGCACTGTTTACAGCCAAATCAAGTGCTCGAAGGAGGGAGGGAGGCAGACAAAGTACATAAAATAATAATAAGAACAGGAATGCAGATTTCTGCATCAGCACTGAACTTTATAAAGAATGTGAAAGTTCTTTCTTTTTTTAAAAAAAAAGTATTTGTTTAATTGGAGTGAGTGCAGCTGTAGGGGAACAAAAGGGACCGATTCTGTAAATGTTGGAAGTTGTCTAAAATTCTGCACTTTGTGTTTTGTTCAAAGCACAGTGAATGTCACCCAGCCTTTTTGAAACACACTGAGTTACTCTGTTCAGTCATACCATAGATTTCAGGCAAGCAGACCCCGCCAACTCAAGCAGACAAAACAACAACCTGCATTTATATAGCACCCCTCATGCAAAGTAGCCTCCCAGAGCACTTGACAGTGGCAGAGCACGACACCCAGCCGGGGGGGTGGGGGGGTGACAGTAAGCACAGTCAAAGGGGAAGGTCTTCATTTGCGATCTGACGATAATAATAATAATCTTCGCATTTGATACAGCGCCTTATCATGTCGTTGAGATTCTCAAAGTGCTTCGCAGGATACACTGTCAAGTGAATCGACTATATATTTTGTAGATGAAAGAAAGGGGTGCAAAGTGGAGGGATTGAGGGAGAGTGTTCCAGAGGTTTCAACAGCAAATTCCTTGCCATAATTAGTTATGTTCTGGGTAAGGTCAACAACAACAAAATTACATTTATATAGTACCTTTTACACTGACCAATGCACCTCACAGTGAAGGGTTTGCACCTGAGCCAGGGTTTAGAATGAAGCAGGATGGAGACGGGGGTGGGTGGGAGGGTGGCCGAAGGCATGATCAAAGAGGAAGGTCTTGAAACCTCGTCTAATGTCATCTCTGCTATTCAATATTTAAAGTAGACCGTGTGATACTATTTATCTGCACTACAGGAATTGTATTCTGTGTAAAACAGAGCGATTCCTAAGCCTTCAACTGCTCACTTGCTGCTCACACAGTGTGACTGAGTGAAGCCATTTGTCAAGATTCCTGTCGTTCCACAGTTTTGTTTTGGGATGTTTGTTAACTTGTTGTGGTTCGGATTGAATACTTAATTAATTGCATGATTTGCACTTTACAAGAGCCATCATCACGAGTTGTCTACCTTGGCGCACATCTCCTGTATGTGATTCTGTTCGCTCTGGCGCCCACTGCCAATATTTCAACAGCAATTCCTGTGTGTTTTTTGTTGCACTGACTTTATTTTAATGACCTTTTTAGTGTGCACTACAAACCCTCTACAACTGCAATCCTATTCCATCCCCAGTGTACCTTCCGGCCATTTTAAACTCCTGTCTAAGAGACATTCTAGAATTGTAGGAGGTACAGCACAGATGGAGGCCATTCTGGTGCCAGTTCCCATTGGAGCAATTCACTCTGATTTCAATTCCTTGCTATCCCTCTACTGTGTTTTTTTATACCTGTTAAACATTCTGATGTTGGACTCTGTTCAGCGCTTCTGACCAAGCATTCCAGGTTCTGTGCAACAAAACAAACCTCCTAACTTTTCCAATGAAAATCCAGGAGTGAGTTCTCACCTCTCCTCTTCCTCCTCCCTGTTCTCAATTTACCAAGCAGTGGGAATAATCTCTCGCTAATGCTCTGCAAAACTTCCCGTTTCTAACAAAGACAGCCCCCTACTTCTGAGTCTATTAACTCTGTTCAATGGTGTGGCAGGAATGTTTTGGAATGTTGACCAGTGCCTGATGCTCTCACTGCTGATGCGAGTCCTGTAGTGTGATTATCACGCTTGCCTCGTACGCGAGAGACTTGGATTATTCCTTTCAGGGCGAAACATTGGAACCTGGTTGTTAGTTGGTTGGCGGATCGCTTTTTTATGGCTAATAATTCCTTAAAAAAAATTGGTCACTCAATCCACAACTGTGGGACGCTGCTGTGCGCAATTGGCTGCCGCTTTTCGCCCACAAAATATACAGTCAATTCACTTTACAGTATATTCTGTGAAGCGCTTTAAGACGCCTCGAAGGCATGATAAGGCACTATATCAAATGCAAGGACAATTATTATACTACCAATGAGAATAGTAGTTAGCGCGCTCACTTCATAAGCGAGAGGACCAGGGTTCGATTCCTGGGCAGGGCAAAACCTTAGGCAAGTTTCCTTACTCCACACGCCTCTGTTTACCTGACAGTAAGTAGGAACCTGGTTGTTAGACGATTGACAGATAGTGTTCTCTGTCTGTACTGAAAATCCATTTGACAAGTCCTGCAATGAGGCGATATTCAAATCGAAGACTCCGTATCTTCTGTCTCTGACATTGTGAGCTTCTTAAACCAGCTGAGTGCTGAATAAGTTTTTTTGTTGAATGCCTTTTTGATTAAAACTTATTTAACCGTGAGTGAGAATTGAATTATTCGAATTTCAGTTGTCAGCAAAATAATGTGAATTGAAATGCACTTTGTTGTAAGTCTGTTCAAGGTTTGACACTTCTGTTGGGATCTGGAATACATGAAAGTCTGGTGGAAGCCAATTCGATAACAACTTTTAAGAGAAGTAGATCATTATTGGGGTGGAGAAGTTTGCCGGGCTATGGGGAGAGAGCGGGGGAGTGGCATTGATTTGGAAGCTCTTTTCAAAGAGACGATGGACCGAATAGCTTTCTATGCTGTATAATTGTATGATTCTATGTTAATTGTCCCCTCGCCTCCGTCCCAAGGTGCTGGACAGAGTACAGCATTTCAAACCCGAGTAGGAGAAGGGAGGGGAGGGAAAGGGGGGTAGCCGATGGCATGGTGGAAGAGGAGGGTCTTGAGGTGGGACTTGAAGGAGGCTAAGGAGGGTCGAGGCGGAGTGATTGGGGGATGGAGTTCCAGAGATTGGGGGCAGAGTGGCTGAAGGCTCTCCCGCCAATGGTGGGGCAGGTGGAGCAGGGGACGTGGGGACAGGCCAGAGCCGGCTGAGCGGAGGGAGCGAGCGGGTTGGTAGGGAATTTGGAGGTCACAGAGGTAGGGTTGGGCGAGGCCATGGAGGGCTTTGTAGGTGAGGACCGGGATCTTGAACTGGAACCTCTGAAGGAGAGGGAGCCAATGGAGTTGGGCGAGAATGGGGGAGATGGGATCACGTCTCAAGAACTTTCTCTTTGACCATGCCTTTGGCCAACCCCCAACCCTTCACCCCATATGTCTTGGGACGTCCTTCCAGCATGATATAAATATAAGTTGTTGTTAAAGATGGATAGAAAGAGGGGCGAGGCAGAGGGATTGAGGCAGGGAGCTCGAGCGATTAGGAGCATGGGATGGAGATCGATTGATGGTGCAGAGGATTTGGGGGCAATGACACAGCAGGCTTGTGCCAGTTGAGGGGAGAGGGTGGCCATAGGAGTGGAGTAGTGTGTGAATAGGCCCAGATTGATTTCCCATTGCAATGCAAGATGACACATTTTCTATTTCCATACTCAATCAACAGCATTTGAAAATAGCAAGCGTGTGTTTAGATGTAGTTTTGCAACTTGACATTTGGCCAGCTCTCTGGAGGAGGAATCACCAAGCGCTGTTGCCGTGTAGAAGCCAGAAGCCTTTTCTGCACGCTCTCCTCCAAGCCAGACCTCTGCATGCTGGCCGGACTTTGTGGTAACAGCTTCCAGTACCACTATCACTCCTGGGTGGCATGTAACCAGCGAAAGACTCAACGCACTGAGCACTTATTAAAAGAAATATGCCTGAAGCAGCAACAAAAATAAGAACAAATTACATCGACACAGAGTCTTTCATGTCGGGAGGTCATCCCAAAGCGCTGGAAGGTCAAGGGCTTTCCCCCAAGCTGGGTGTTGGGATTAGGAGGGTGGAGGGGAGGGAGGGTGCACATCGTAGAGAGTGACCGAAGGTACGGTCAAAGCAGTAAGGATCTAGAGAGGGAGAAAGCATAAAACCAATCCTTTTTTTTATATAAACTGAACGTTTCAACCCACCTTTACTCTGACCAACTGTGACCCTATATACCCCGCTTCACATCCCCACCCACTCCATCCCACAGCGAGCTTTCAGCCACTCTATCCCAGCTCTCTGTTACTCCATTCCAGAGTCTCTCTGCCTCGCCCACTCCCTCCCCACCTTTAAAGCTTGTTTTAAAATCTCCCTCTCCGACCGTACTTCCAGCCACCTTCTCCCTCTCCCCTTCATAGTTTCTCAACCCCAGGTCAGACTCTCAGTCGATCGTGTGAAGCACTTTGAGGTGTCCTCCCAACATGAAAGGCGCTATATAAATGTAAAGCATTTTTTGTCGTGCGTTTATAACCGTAATGACCATGCAAATATTCATCTTCGAGAATTTTCAATATAAAGCTGACAGGAGTGAACGATTCTTCCCTCTGCTGGAGGGATCTAGAAATGAGAACATCACCTCACACATACTGTACTGTAAGTATGTCTTGAAACAAACTTGAGGCACAAGACACATTCATACCCTTACTGTGGCCATTAAATACAGGGGCTTGTTCTGTGTGTGCAGAATTTCAACTTAGTTTCACAAGGTAACATACAGGTAAGATCTGACGTACATATGTCAACCTGGCTCAGTTGGGTAGCTCTTTTGCATCTGGGTTAGAAGGTTGTAGATTGTGAATTTAAGCCCCAGTTCAGGATCTTTGAACTCATGATTTTAGACTGAGGCAGAGGACATTGTCCCTGCATTATATTTTCTAAGCAAACGCAGCAGCCAATTTGCACACAGCAGTGTCCCATTAACAGCCATGAAGCGAATGACCAATTTTATTTGGGGCTTTGTCAGCCAGGATACCAGGAGAAACAGCCTTATCCTTTCAAATAGTGCCCTGGTCTCTTTAACTTCCGCCTGAAAGGGCAGCTGAGATCTCAGCTTCACGTCTCATCAAAAAGACAGTACATCCCAAATCCAGAGTCCCCCAGCACTGCAACGGTGGTCAGTCTAGATTGTCAATTCAAAGGCTCAGAGTGGGGCTTCAATGCACAACCTGTGGAGTCCTGTAGCATAGTGGTTAGCCTCGCAAGGTTCGATTCCAGGATGAGCATTAAGTCCCTGTTTACCTACCAGTAAGTAGGAAGCCGGTTGTTAATTGATTGGCTGATTGCTTTCCAGGGGTAATAATCCCTCCCAGGAAAAATGCATGACTGTTTGAGGGACACTGCTGTGTGCGATTGGTAGTGTTTTGCCCACAAAATGCACAGTCTTTACAATATATTCTGGAAGCGCTTTGAGATGTCTCAATGACGTGATAAGGCGCGATATCAAACGCAAGGATTATTATTAGAACTTTCTGACTTGGAAGCGAGATTGCTAGCGATTGAGCCAGGCTGGCGGGCGTTCTAAAGAGCAAAATAATAATTGTCTGTTTTTGAGCTGCGCAGCTTTCTGTCTCACTTGCAGGCAGCAGGTCAGATGGACTGAAAAGCCCCACCGATTCCGTATTTCTGGGAACAGTGGAAATGAATTGTACAGAGGCGGCCGAATGTGGAAAAAAAACAAGTAAGTGAATTTTACTTGTATTTAAACGTTTAAATGCATGTCGACGCTGATAATTGGAACCCTTTCCTATCTCGGAAGTCAGGTTCACACAATGAATATTGCAGCACAGAATAAAGTTAAGCAACATCACATTGCTTCACTGAATCCACTGTAAAGTGCGTTTTACAGGTGAACATGGCAGCCAATATTCTCACAGAAATGTCCCCATAAACAACAGTGATGTGAGTGACCAATTTGATTTGGGGGAATGTTGGCCAGGACACCAGGAGGGAGAGAGAAACTCCCTTCCCTTTTTGAATAACGCCGCAAGATCTTTAACATCCACCTGGTCCTCAATTTAAGAGTTCATCCAATTGACGACTCCTTTGCAGCATTGCAGCACAACCCCAGCACCACACTGGAATGTACATGAGAGAGGAGCGGAGGGGAGGCTCATGTGGAGTATGTACACTGGCAACAATTCATTAATAATAATCCTTACATTTCATATGGTACTGTATCATGTCGTCACACTGTCTCAAAGTGCAGGATATACTATAAAGTGATATGACTGTATTTTGTGGGGGAAACATGGTAGCCAATCTGTGCACATTGATGTCCCACAAACAGCCATGCAGTGAGTGACCAATTTTATTTGGAGGGTTGTTGGTCAGATCACCAGGAGAGAGAAACTCCCTTCTCTTTTCAAGCCATGGGATCTTTAACATCCACCTCCACAGGCAGACGGGAAGGATGGCGCCTCCGACCATACGTCCCACACCCAGCACTGCCTTGGACTATCAGCTTAGACTAAATGGGTTCCAAGTCCTGACCTGGAGTTTAAACGTACGACCTTCTGACTCTGAGTCAAGAGTGCTGCCAACTGAGTTAAGCTCTGTTTGTGCCTCTGCTTCAGCTGTGGTTTGTGTGGTAGAGAATTACACATTCCAGACATCCTCCAGACAATAATAATAATAATCCTTGCATTTGATATGGCGCCTTATCACATCTTCAAGACATCTCAAAGCGCTTCACAGAATATACTGTAAAGTGAATTGACTGTATATTTGTGGGTGAAACGCGGCAGCCAATTGTGCACAGCAATGTCCCACAAGCAGCCGTGGATGGAGTGACCACATTATTGTTTTTTTTTGAGGGAATATTATCCCCGGAAAAGTGATCCACCAATTGACTGGCTTCCTACTTACTGATGATCCTTGCATTTGATATAGCGCTTTTCATGTCGGGAGGACGTCCCAAAGCGCTTCACAGAATATACTGTAAAGTGAATTGACTGTATATTTGTGGGCGAACGCGGCAGCCAATTGCGCACAGCAATGTGCCACAAACAGTCGTAGATTGAAAATGACCAATTTATTATTGTTTTTGGTTTTGGAGGGATTATTATTAGGCTCTGTGTGGAGTAAGGAAACTTGCCCAAGGTTTCGCCCTCTGCCTGGAATTGAACTCGGGTCTCTCACTTGCAAACCGAGTGCTCTAACCACTGAGCTACAGGACTCCACATTCCAGCTTTACACAGGTCGTCACATTTTTGCCCTTTGCTGGCGGTCTCCTGTCTCTGTTGAGTGGCCCTCTGCACTGAGCGCTGTTGAGTGCCCATCATCCATCAATTTGTGTACTTGGAGGCGCAGTTGCAATCCTCCCCCCACCATCGGAGGTTGTGCTTTCAGCCACTACGCCCCAAAACTCTGGAACACTCTCCTTCAATCCCTCCGCCTTGCCCCTCGCTCCCCTCTTTGAGGTCCCACCTGGAAACATTCCTGTTCACCTTGTCCTTTACGGCTGCCTCCCTCCTCCCACCGGCTTGAAGTCAGGCTCCACCCACTATTAAGCGCTCTGAGACGCTACCCTGCGTGGGGCCTGACTTGAAGGGTGCTGTTTAAGTGCAAGTTGTTGTTGCAAGCCAAAGCCCTAACTAACGGGTAGGGTGGTCCTAGCTGGACAAGCAGCGGGAAAGCTTAACAGACAGTGATATCAATGGAAAGCTGTGTGGGTTTAGCTGGTTAGACTCCAGCAGTTACCCCAACACACACTCTGGGCTCCCCCCAAGCCTTGGCTCTTGCCAACTGCGCCAATACTTTCTGGAATTAGGTAAACAGGATGCGTCCCTCCAAGAAGAGAGAGAGAGAGCACAGTCCATTCCAACAATCTATCTGTGTAAAATAATGTCCGGAGGCAGTTCCTGTCCCTGAATCTCAATCCTCCTGTTTATTTGAGCTTCTCTTTATTTTAGACGGTGAAAACGGCAGCTTAAGTATCGACCACGATCCAAACAGCCCAGGCTGGAGGACCAGCAGGACTCTCAGCAGCAGCTCCGAGGACACCCTGGGCAGAAAACTGCTGCGCAAAATCAGTCAGTGTCTCTGGGTGGTGGTGGGAGGGGCGTTACACAAAGGGAAGGGAGTCACACTCGGGGTGGGATGGGGTGGGGGGGGCAGTGGGTGGGAATCGTCTGTGACACAACAGTTCTCTGGCCCACTCTCTCCCACCCCTTCCCCTGAAAATTCCAATTCAAGATCCACCCCCAAGCCACGGGTCTTGAGAGTCAGTGTATGCATTGGGGGGTGGGGAGGAGGGGAGGTTGCGGGAGTGAGGGGAGAAGGGAAGGAAGTCACGGTTTAAACTACACCGTGTGGTCTTTTCACCGGCCACAGCTCCTGGCAGAGGTGAGGCTGGTGCCTGTGCCAAGGCACAGAGGTGTGGATAGGGTTGGAGGGAAGACTGGGGAGGGGAAGGGGCTACATTGGGGAGTGGGAGGGACTAGATTGGGGGAGGGGAGACTATTCCCAAATAGATCGCCTGATCCCTTCAAAAGAAATGATCTCACTCAATTCATGACTGTTTGTGGACACTGCTGTGCGCAATTGGCTGCCGGGTTTTGACCACAAAATATACAGTCACTACACTACACTACACAGTATATTCTGTGAAGCGCTTTGCAATTTCTCAGGGGTGATAAGGCGCTGTATCAAATGCAAGCATTATTATTATTTTGTCAGCTGTTTTTCTTGATCTGTTTCAGGTGGTAAGAGAAGGACATTGTCCAGGGACAGTGAGAAGAGCCCGGAGGAGAACTTTGCTTTCTCACAACTGAAGCTCTGAGACACGGAACGAGCAACAGGTTCACTCTCCCCCAGCGACAACTAACCCCAACTTCTTCCTACGCATGACAGAGCATAGAATGTGCTTCTCACACACACACACACAGGCAAATACAGGTTCATTTACACACACACACACAGGCAAATACAGGTTCATTTACACACACACACACACACACACAGGCAAATACAAGTTCATACATACACACACAAATACACAGGCAAGTGCCGGCTCATATATACACACACACAACAACAACAACAAGATTCCATTTATAGAGCGCCTTTCACGTCGGGAGGACGTCCCAAGGCGCTGGGCAAATACACACAGGCAAATACAGGTTCATTTACACACACACACACACAGGCAAATACAGGTTCATATATACACACATAAATACACAGGCAAGTGCTGGCTCATATATACACACACACACACACATCAGGAAGATACAGGCTCATCTACACACACACACACACACAGCCAGATTCCAGCTCATATACACATAACATACACACAAGCAAATACCGGCTCATATACACACACACACACAGAGGCAGATACTGGCTCACACACATACACCGATACAACACACACAAAGACAGATACCGACACAACACACACAAGCAGATACCGACACACACACAGGTAACACGCAGATTCCAACTCATACACGCACATACACCCACACACAGGCAAATATAAGCTCGTATACATACACACACAAGCAGATACCAGCTCATACACACACAACACATATACACACAGGCAAATACAGGCTCATATACATGTACACACAGGTAAAGGCCCATACACGCACACACGCACATAGATACAGGTACATATGCACACAAGGACAGGAACATATACATACACATATGCACAGGTACAGGTACGTACACACACATACACAAATATAGGTAAATACATACAGATACAGGAACATAGATGCACACACGCACACATGGCTACAGACAGACACACGGACACAGATACATGTAGACTCGCACACATATACATATACACACAAACGCAGAGGTGTATGTGCACATACATGCACACGCACACAGATGTACACACGCGTAGAGACCTTGAGACACACACACATGAAATAAAGTGAAAGCAGCTCCCCCTCCCACCCAATCACAAAATACTTTAAGAAAATGGGGAGTTTTCTTCTAGTAACAGTTTTAAGATTTCCATTTTATTAAGGGGGTGAAATTGAGTGTGATTTTTGGAATTGGCAACATCTCAGTAAGACGTGGATGTTTAACAAACTAAAATTCAGTTTATTATAATAAATTTTTCTCATAGAAAAAATTATTTTTCTCCGTTAGTCCCATCACCCCCACTGTTTAGACAGATTCTTTAGTTTGGTCTGATTTTTTTCCTGATGGGAACTACAGAAAAATATCTTCCAAATTAATTGAATTTAAGAATTTTCCACAAGACAGTGCCAACTTACAATTTAGGAGTCCCATAGCTCAGTGGTTAGAGCACTCGCCTCGCAAGCGAGAGGACCTGGGTTCGATTCCCGGCCGGGAAGAAACCTTAGGCAAGTTTCTTTACTCCACATGCCTCTGTTTACCCAGCAGTAAGTAGGAACCTGCGTGTTAGTCGATTGGTGGATCTCTTTCCTGGGGTAATAATCTCAAAAAAATATAGGTCACTCAACCATAAGTTTGTGGGACGCTGCTGTGCGTAATTAGCTGTTGTGTTTCGCCCACAAAATACACAGTCACTCCACTTTACAATATATTCTGAGAAGCGTTTTCAGATATTGCAACAATGTGATAAGGCTATATCAAAAGCAAGAAATATTTATTATGATCACCACCACCTCAGCCACTTCCATTAGAAGCAGATTCATTTATAGCAATTTTATAGGGTTTTCCGAAGCTGCTTTCAGTTTATTTCCCCAAGCGATGTTGTTGGGTCGGGTTTGATTTGGGAGGAAGAGACATGGCAGAGACCTGGTGCCCGTTTCAATCCAAGAAGATGGTTGCAGGGTGGGCCACAAGACCCAAAGGCACCAGCGGGTCTTTGGGTTGTATTGATGACCTCTGATGTGTGGGCAGAGGTGACAGAGCAGCCAATCTGTACCAGCAAAACGTCAGGTCAGCAACCAACGGGGGAGATGGTGAGGGAGAGCGCTACACTGGCCAGGACACCAGGAGAAACTCCCTGCTCCATTCTGAGATTGTGCCGTGGGAATTATTTTGACTGGGACAGGACACATCAAGCGACTGCCAGGATGGTGGAAGGTGAACTGGATGGACCTTGGTCTCCTTTCGCCAGCAAATCCTTAAGTTTCACTCTGAACTATAAGAACAGGAATTTAGTGTCTTTATCCAAAGGACCTTTTCCAGTGGAAAGCTGTTGCTTTTTGATACATACAGGGTCTACGTAAAGTTCAACCCCAAAGCCGTCATCAACAGAAAAGACGCTTAAAATACAGATGAACGGCGTGAGGTTTCAGGCAAAAAAAGACCATCACTCTGGATAACACTGTCACCTGCAGGCCTGCCTCCGTGGAGCTCTCTCAGCCCGCTTTGGATGCTCCTAAACACGGCGATGGATTTCCACATGTACCGGGTGCCCAACTGGTCAAAACAAGCAAACCCCATCAACGTGGAAAGCATTGCTGTGATCGAGCTACTTTGTAATCAAGACAAAGAAAAGCAAGGCTGTAGCTGGGGTTTAATACAGATGATGTTGTACGGGTTTCGATTTGAAACCATCAGGTTAGACATGGCAACACTCAAACTCCCACTTAGGGAACAAATAACCTCCCCCTCCACATTCCCTCAACACTCGCCCCCCCACAGTTTCCCTGCCCCCCACACTCTCCCCCCCCCCCCCCGCCATCCCCACACTCTCCCCCACTCCCATAAGAAAGACCTTGTAAATAAAATAAAGACCAAGGGGTGTGATCTTCCCTGAAGTGTCACATCCCACGTCATGACCACACGAGATGTTCGCAGCTTCAATAGAGAAACATCATTTGACTTTGGATTGTGGAGTCCTGTAGCTCAGTGGTTAGAGCGCTCGCCTCGCAAGCGAGAGACTTGGGTTCGATTCCCGGCAGAGCGAAATGTTAGTAAGTTTCCTTACTCCACACGCCACTGTTTACCTCGCAGTAAGTAGGAATCTGGTTGTTAGTAGATTGACAGATCGCTTTCTGAGAGTATTAAATCCCTCCAAAAAATATATATTTTTAAATAATAATTTGGTCATTCAATCCACAGCTGTTTGAGAGTCGCGGCTGTGAATGATTGGCTGCCGCTTTTCGCCCACAACGTACACAGTCAGTTCACTTTACAGTATATCCTGTGAAGCTCTTTGAGAAGTCTCAAAGATGTGATAAGCTGCTGTATCAAATGCAAGGATTAATATTAATGTGAGCATGTTGAGGATGTGCCTGTTCCCTGTACCTGAGTGACTTTGACCCCCTCCCCCCCCTCATCCCTCCCCCGCATAGTTTAGCAGCGCTGTGCTGGGCAGCATGAGGACATATGATCCAAAGAGCTTGTAATAATTCACCTGAAATATTAACTGTTAGAGAATAGATTTGTACTTGATTGTCACGTTCTTTTACCTCCTTTCCAACCTCCGTCTATTGTGTGTCATTATCTCAGGTTCTTCTCTTCTCCTCCCACCCCACCCCAGACCACCACCCCCCCAACCCCACATAAAACCCCCACCAGCCCCTGAGGGGTGAGGGCGCGGGGCTGGCGTTTCTGTCGACGTTTCTGTCGTCCCCGAAAAGAATTCTATTTTTTGAAGACTTTCAGATTTGACCCGAAGCAAATGAAATCGGTGTGTGGGTGTTGGGGGGATAGGTGTGTGTGTGTGGAGGGTTGGGGGGTAGGTGTGTGTGTGAGAGGGTGGAGTAAGTGTGTGGGGTGGGTAGGTGTCTATGGGGGTGTAGGTGTGTCTGTGGGGGGGGGTAGGTGTGTCTGTGGGGGGGTAGGTGCGTCTGTGGGGGATAGGTGTGTCTGTGGGGGGGTAGGTGTGTCTGGGGGATAGGTGTGACTGTGGGGGATAGGTGTACTGGGGGGTAGGTGTGTCTGTGTGGGGGGGTAGGTGTCTGTGTGGGGTAGGTGTGTCTGTGGGGGATAGGTGTGACTGTGGGGGATAGGTGTGACTGGGGGGTAGGTGTGTCTGTGGGGGGTAGGTGTGACTGTGGGGGGTAGGTTTGTCTGTGTGGGGGGGTAGGTGTCTGTGTGGGGGGTAGGTGTGTCTGTGTGGAGGGATAGGTGTGACTGGGGGGTAGGTTTGTCTGTGCGGGGGTGTAGGTGTCTGTGTGGGGGGTAGGTGTGTCTGTGGGGGGATAGGTGTGACTGTGGGGGGATAGGTGTGACTGTGGGGGGTAGGTTTGTCTGTGTGGGGGTAGGTGTCTGTGTGGGGGGTAGGTGTGTCTGTGAGTGGTAGGTGTCTGTGGTGGGGGGGTGTATCGTGTGTCTGTGGGGGTGTAGGTGTGTTTGTGTGAGAGACAATCCCCTTCGATGACAAGCAGCTTGAAGACTAAAGCAGATCAGAAGACCTTCCTCTTTGACCATGCTCACAGTCACCTCCTTCCTCCTCCTTGGCTCTGTGTCAGGCTCCGCTGTCAAGCCCTTGTTGGTGGTGGAGGGAGGGAGAGAAGATCAGGAACAGTAACAGCATGGTTGAGCCTTTATTGTGAAGTTTCGCGCCCCCCTGCCCTCACCTCCCCTTTCCATTTAAGGGACGTCCTCCTAACGTGAAAGGCGCTACACAACTGTAATTTGCTGCTGTTGTTGTAAACTCTGTTTATCATCACGTCTTTTGTTGTGACCCTTCCAGAGGGAAGAGTCTAACTCATCCATTCCATCCCCTTCATTAGTTTAAAGACATGAATCACATCAACCCTTAACTTCCTCACCTCTGAGGGATGTAACCCCAAAATCTGCCCAGCCTCTTGTCACAGATAAACTCCATTCATTTCCACGTGTTGATCTTGTGAATCGATGCCCTCCAAGGCTGGTCTCCTTGTCAAAATCGATGTAAACTGAGAAGAAGATAGCGCCACATGGCATAGCTCTGCCCTTAGATCTCTCCTGGAGATTCCCAAAGCGTTGCTTGTTATAGCTGAGTGGATCTGAGTTATT